CCCCCCCCCCCCCCCCCCCCCCCTGAATAGGGACTGAACAACCTTCTATGTAAGGTAAATGAAAAAGGGGAGAGAGACTTGAAACTCTTTTAGCCTAAGCATCAGGCTTTTCTAGGGGGAAGGGGGGTGGATAGAAAAGGAGGCAACCATGATTTTCGTCTTGTTCGTTCCTCTCTCATCCTGATTAAGGACTGCTCAACCTCTCACCATAAATCCTCTATTAAGCCACCTAGAGGGCTTATTTATTTAAAAACCCTTTGAGGGGAGGGGGGCTTAATGGAGACGGGGGGCTTATTTAATTTAGAGTAAATGAAGCTATCGGTTCTCCTTAAAGAACTAGAATACAAAGTGGAAAAGCTCAAGTACAAAAAGTTAGTGGTCATGCAGCCGAGAATCAAAAACAAATCCGAACTTCCAGTTGGTGAATGAACCAACCCGGATCAGTCTACGCGAAGTTTTACGGTCACAACTGATTAATACAGTCTATCATTTATTAGTGAAGAATACTTAGGGGAGGGGAGGGAAAGGGGGCTTATTCCCCGTGAAAAAAGGCGGACTTATTAGAGAGGAGGGGGGATTAATAGAGGATTTGCAATATGGAGGTAACTGAAATGGGAGAAGGGTTAGACTCAAAACAGAGCTTTTTGGAATTATGAGGAAACCTACAACAAATCGTTAGAATTTCCAGGTGTATATGTAAGTGCAGGCTGGAAATAAAAAAAACTGGTTACACTGTTTACTATTTCTTTCAGACGTTTGTGTTTTTCTTTTAAAGGGACAGGTTCACAGTTAAGCGCATGCTCATTAATTAAATTACTTTTTTCTAATTTATTATTAATCCTATCGGTTAAACCCACTCACATGTATCTCAGCGATCTCAGAGTGTATTTCAAAGTAGAAGTATATTTCAGAGTAACCTGAAGTGGGATGGAGGAGGGTGTCAATAGGGTATAGCCGAAGTCAGTAAACAGCTAAAAAGACACTAGTTAGTCAGTAAGCAGCAAAAAACCGTTTAGTCAGTTAATTGGCATGGTTGTGAGTCCTGCAGACGTTAAAATTGTTTATAGGGTGGGGTTTCCAAATCAATCACTAACCTAAGACTACCAAGTTCTCTCCAACTTTTCCAGTATGCAATGCACTGGTTTGCAATATTCTTTAACAGTCCATCAAATCAGCCTGATAAGAATTATTTGTTACAAATCCAGCCTAACTGACGCCCTGATTTGTCTTCCATGGTTGAGCCTGGAAGACGGCACCACTCTCCTCTTCATCCTCTTTCTGTGAATAAAATTCTTGAACAAAAGCGCTCAATGACATCTGAATTTCTGTACACAGTCATCGACCCGCTTCTCATTTCTAACACAAAATTCTCATATTCTCCAATCTAATTGGCTATTGGCAGCCCTGATTTCAGCATTAATAGGACGATGTAATAGGAAAGTTCGTGTCATGCGTAAGCATAATTGGACAGAAAAATGCAGTATTCGCCATTGCACGCGCACTCTTGAATGCGTTCAAAGTAAGGTTAGGGAGTCGGTAATAAAACTTCTTGTCCAATTAAAAATCTGTAATTATACTTTTTAGGGGATTGAACAATTTGGATTCTCGCTCAACACGGTTGCAATTTTGTTTTATCGCTCATAAGATTACAGGCGGAATTAGATTTCATTCAGTCCTATTACGCCGGATTATAGACAGTACAAACACCTATTTGCAAGCAAGCAAGCAAAGAGGTAGGGCACTGAGACAATAAACCATGGTTGTATCAAAACGAGTTCATTCATTTCTTTCATTCTATCTCACCATATCGTCTTTTTATCTCAGAAAGTTTTCATTTGTTTGAACCAATTAATAATTTTTTTGGTCTACTTCGCTCTGTATGCGCTTAAAAAATTGTCGGTTTTTATACGCTTGTGAGTTAATATTTTGTAATTTATTCGTTTACGATAGTGAAAAAAGGACTTTATACGTTAAGCAGTTAACTCCATTGGCACCCTCATGGAGGAGTACTAAAATCGCAGAAAAAATTAGTGAATTATGCCAACACTAGCAACGTTGAATTTATTGTTGACCCGAAGGTTTTACTCCATACATGGTTGATTAATTTACAGCTATTTGCACCTAAGTTGATCAAGTGACTGCCAGGAGAGTGTGTAGATTGGTTGTTTTGAATAGACAATACAGAATGTCAGAAAAACAGCATTTTGATAAATGAGCATGCGCTGAACCGTGAACCTGTCAAACGGTTTTTTTTTCTCGAACTACCACCTCATAGTTTAAAGCGGCTCTCTACTACGGTTGCTGTTCAGTCACAGTAGTGGGCAGTGGCTCGGGACATTTTGGTCAGTCTTACACCAAGTAGTACCCCTGCTCGACGCCTCGCAGAAGGCCAGACTAGTAGAGCGAACGAAACGCGAGCGCGCGTAAAAAACATCCCACGCGAGAGAAGGCGACACGCGGCGGGAGAGAGAAAAAATCATTTTTTCTCTCTCCCCACCACGTATCGCCCTTCTCGCGTGGGGTGATTTTCACGCGCGCTCGCGTTTCGCTCGCTCTACAATCCCTGAGAAAAAATGGGGGACTACTCGTAGTCTACAGAAGGTTGCTCCACAGCCGTTCTTTGTGTCGTCACGCAATGCTCCTCCCCACAAAGATTGGCAGTGGAGCAGACAAGACGCCTCGCGATGTGTTCGCATTTATGTGCTATACACGTGGAGTTTACACGGAAAAAACATGTCCGGGCTGAGAAGATCACTCTCCTACCCTTTTGGCCACATATGACGTATGACGTAGCCTAGGCAACTGGCCTCAATTCCCCGCGCGGGAATTTGTTATTGATATGTGATGATAGTTATTTGGTCCACTGCTAATGTGCCATCCTTTCTTACGGTTCTTTCGTCAAAATGAGAAGCAATATTTCGACCGGTAGATTGCGATAGGTATTACTCTCTTTCGGTGAAAAATGGAGTCAGAAAACGGAGTCAGGTAAATGTTCATCTTAGTGGTAATTTTGGTTTGTTAAGGTTCAGTGCGTTGAGCTTAACTTGTACGTTTTACTATTTTTAGTACCGACAATTTCACCGCTTCCGCGGTAAAAGCGAACGACCAAGCGATAGAGTATATTTCAAGCATAGGTGAGTCGCTAAATTTGAACGTCTGTTTGTTTAAAAGATTATCTAACTCGTGCATACGATGCTGGAATTGTAAAGATGTTTGAACTAACCAAACAAGCTTACTGCTTTTGATGTTTTGAAGAGCTCACTGCGGGTTGTAAATTTGAGTTCTTCGGGTTATTTAAATGTCTTTACTCTCTTAAGAATCCAGTTATCAGCGATCATCTCGAGAAATATAACAAATCCAGTTGTAAGCTCAAGTGAGCTTACATCGTTAAGTTTAGCTTATGTCGCGCGCAGCCGAGGCCGTTCGGTTATGGCGGAAATTTCCTAATGTTGTGCAACCTAGGTTTTTGTTCGATCTTTAAAATTACAAAACGTACTAATGCTGGAATTCCAATGCGTCTAGGCTTTTCGGTTTAGAATGCTTTAGCCTAGAGCCAAAAAGAAATTTGCATACTATTTAAAATTGCTTGAGTTACATGCATCGCCGGAAGGGCTTCACTCGTTACTCAACAGGCTTATTAAATTTGGCTGGCATAAAAATGTTTAAGTCTGTCTTCCTCTGCCACTATATCGGCAAATGTTGGCATTTAGTTCTTCGGAAAAGTTATTTCAGTTAAACTATTGCAGCAAACTTTGAAACGTTCTATGAAAAAACGCCTGAGAAATGGCAAATTTCATATTCCCTAAGCTTATGGTTAAGAAAATAAAAAAAAAATTCTCAAAGGGGCAGGTTATGAAAGATTCGAAATGATGCTTGTAATTCTTGGCTCACGCCGTATGTTTTTAATTTACCCAAATTATCCATGAATTTGTATCATATTTCATATTGCCTCAAAGTTAACCAAAATGGAAACAACAGATTGTTTTTTTAAAGGTTGTGGAATGTTCGTTGCACTTGAGTAACTGGAGAATATTTTAATATCCAGGTTACACTGTTCTTTATCAATGTTTCTAGTAGGATTTCTTTGATAAAAGAATTATATAATTTACACAAATTCTTGGGAAGAAATAAAAATTACTTGTCACAAAACACAAAACTGATTGTCAAAAATTTGAAAAGACCTTGGAAACCACAGACAAAAGAGTTATTTCACTAAAAGAAATAACAATGCCCTTCATTAAAAATCCTGCTTAATAAGTAACACTTTTAAGAGGATATGCAATGACATTCCTTATTAAAAGTTTTCATCAACTAATTTACACAACACATGTTCCGTATTTTTTTGATCTGGTTTTTAGTATACAATTCAAAGTAACTTAATTACCCTTGTACAGTTCTACAGATAATACATGAAGGCTGGTCAATAAACAATGTTACATTTTGTTTATTTTGTAAGCCCCACAGAAGGGGAAGTGAATATTAGAAAATGAAAGTGAGTATAATATCTGTAGGCATCACCTGTCAAATCATCAAATAAAGAATTCATTATTAATTTTGACTTCCTAATTTTCTAACTTGTAAGCAACCTTTTCTATTTACATGGTATTTTCTTGTACATATTCCTTTTTTACTGATATAATCACAAACATTACAATTTGAGCTGCTTTGTGCTTTTTGATCAGTTTACCTCATTTTCTATACACTCACAGTTCTTGCATATTCGCTGCCCATGCACAATAAAAAAGAAAACTTTCATGGTCAAATATTGCACCTGGTTCCTATACAGTTCTGAGATTGACAGTTTTAACAAAATTTCAAAAACAAAATGGGCACATAGAGTTCCATGTGTTTCTGTGACCTTTAGACTGTACTGTAAAGTGCCTCACATCACATTATATTCATTCAGTGGCATTGGCTGTATGGGATCAATCCCAGACAATGAAATCATGACCATCTTGTACTCTCAAATTACTGGTAAACAGGGCTCAATTGGATATGCAACTGGATTTTTTGTTGTGTGCCTAAAAATAAAAATTCAGGTGTAATCACACCTGTGCGCCATAAAACCCAAAGCACAGTGCAACTGACTTGCTTCTGACCATGCTTACTCGAACTAGAAAGATGTTAAACAGTAGCTTCATGCAATGAAAGTAAAAGTAACGTAAGAATAGCACAACCAGGCTCTAAATAGTAAAGTTGCTTTGTTTTTCTTTTATCTGTGTATGCTGAATTCGTCCTTTCCCCCAATGGATTCCACAAACTCGAATGACAGTTCATTTTCATTTGCATGTTTTACTCCATCCCAGACTCTTCTGCAATAAACACATGCAAATATGCTACGAACGAAACACATGCTTTTTGCGCAATGGACAGTTATGTTGAACGTTAAGTTTTAAGGTCAATCAAAACAAAAACAGTCAGGTTAAGAGCCTTTTTTTCCAGGTAGGAAAGTTTTTAAGTCATATCCCAGTTACATGTAAGTCATTGTGCATTTTACAAATTCATCAAAGATTAATTTTCATTCTCGTTCGACATACTCATTGTTGTCAGTTTTGAATTTTTTTTTTCAAGTGTAAGTTTTCTTTAGTCACAACTGTACTGTCAAAAAGAGAAATATTATTAGTATTAAAAACCACAACACTATTACCGCACTGCAAATTGGCTGTGTTTGTCAATCACACAACTGAAATAATAAACATGGCACTGTTAAGCTTTTTACTTTTTCTTTTGAAATAGAATTGCTCCCAACATTATAACCTGTGCTCCTAAAATTTTCAGTTGTGCACCCAAAATTTTGGCAGTGCACTTAAAAATTTACATCTGGTAGCACAAGTGCTCCCAAACTCAAATTTAAACTTTGAGCCCTGGTAAATACCACCTGGTGATATTTTTCAGCATCCAGAAATAGAACTTATAATAGAGGTTTCATGTATAGAGTGTTTTCACATGACATCATGGCGGCCATATTGGTTTCCTAAAACAATGAAACGGCGGCCATGTTGGTGTCCCAAACTAAACCTTTGGGAATTGAACTCTTCTTCTTATGTGAACACTTTCTTTTGTTGCAATAAATTTGCATAGGCAATCTTAGTAGTGGGGAGTGGAGGGGTGCAAAAAATCGTGTCCTTGGTCTGAATACACTGTATAAACCTGTCTTTTTGTATATTGAAGAGGATAGCCATGTCCCTGTCAGTTTGTTTAGTACTATTACAAAATTGTATTTGCACTTTTCTTTGTGGCTGTCACATTTTAAACTTATCTTAGTGTCTTTTGTCACCATAATTTATTTTCATCTGTTATGTTGCTGCTTCAAGGCATCAACTTTTCTTAAGGAAAAAGGAAACAGCTAACTAGCAAGTACTAGGTTTCCTAAAGCTTCTCATGACAAATTTTTCTGTTATATTTTCTACGAAACAGCTGATGAAATATGGGAATCACTGTTATTTGCTGACTCATTGGTTACCACCTCTCAAACTGGCAGGGTAAGTGTGTGTACACAGTCAAACCTTTATTAATTTTGTGACCACCTCTCACAAGTGACAACCTCCCATAAGAGGCTACTGTAGTGTCCAAAACACCAAAATTTTTTTCAGTCAAATCCTCTGAACCTGAATTATAAACAACCACCTCTCATGCCGTTCAGGGTACAGCTGTTTTGAGAAACGTTGTTGGAAGAAATGTGCACACAACAATCCCGAAAGTTAATACTGGATACGGTATGATCAATACACTGTTTCTTGACACTGTAGCTGTCTAACCTACTTTTGTTATGTTGCTTTATTACTCACAAACATACATATGTACCATCCATGGTCTCTCGTGCCGCTCTTCCTTATTTCTTTGAAAAACAGTGAACTCAAAACCACCCACAAAACCTTTTGGGATTGTCACGTGCACTTTTTCTGACAACCTTTCTCAAAATAGTTGTATATCAAGAATTTTCAGTGACAATGTGGAACTGTACTTAAATGTAACTTATGCATTCAATGAATAATTTATTGATTATTATTACTGTATCTTCAAAAACTTAGATGTGTCAGGACCTCTTCTTTTTAGCGACCAACTTCTTTAATCCTTTAAGTCCCAATAGTGACCAACATCAATAATTATCTCCTAACATTATCCATACACTCTCAAGAAATACATCTAAGTTATGAGAATTAATAAAATGAACACCCAAGAGAGAATGCCTTGATCTATTATCAAATTCTCTCAACTAATTCTTTAAGGAAATGTATAGAGATCAGTTTGGAGAATGTGTATGTGGATACTGGGGCTTAAAGGGTTAAACTACCATTAAATCTTTGCATTTTGGGTGGTTACTTACATAATGTACAAAGTTCTGTAATTTTTTATTAGTCTCTCCTTCAGTTACATACAGAATGAATACCACAGGTTAAGATAATTTTGTCATTACTTGCCACACACATAATTAATGAGAATTGTTCTGTACTGAGTGTTTACAAAAAGTGACGTAATACACTGTACTTTTTTATACTCTTCATTAAAGGAAATAGGTGAAATGACAGTAACAGTGGAAAATGCCACTTGGAGAGGAAAGCCATGCTATCTTGTTCATGCTAATAGCCATGGAAGTGTTGATCAAGTACCTATAGGCACATCTGTCACAGGTACAGTGTAGGTACAGGCCTGGAGGGTACTTTTGGAATTTTTGGGTGGGGATGTGTCACTGAGACTCTGTATCACTTAGCCTGTACTAGACCTAGTTCAGATGAATTTTGCTACCCTATTTGAAAGTCTTTATCCAAAATATCAAGGGTTCCAATTGTTTCTCTTTGACTTCTCACTTCAATTTCCGTTTGTCAGTTATGATGCAAGTCAATTTTTTGCGATTGTATAAAGCCAGAGATGGACAAAGGTTCCAAGAATTATTTTGATACCTATTTGGATTGCATCAATAATATCTTGTCCTTGTTTTTTCAGCTTATGTTGGAAGAACACTTCAGACATTCGAACAAACCCACTATGAATATGTCAAGGTACATTATTTGAGAAATTGCAGCTTTTGTGAATGAAAGTTTATTTCATCAGTGATATGCTAATATGGTAGCTTCCTATAATAGTCACTCAAAGTTACAGTATAGGTTTTTTCAGGGTTGATTGACTAATTGTCAAGGAACTTGACATTGCTTTTATCCTATCATTGCGGATCATCATATATAGCGTGTGCAAAAATAGTTGGTATCCTGAAATTTTTATCCTATTAAATTTTTACTATTATGCTTGTTTTTTGTAAGAGCTTGTGGATGTTAACATTGTAAAAATTAACAAATTTTAAAATTAGCCAAGGCCAAAAGCGAAGCTCTTGTGGTAACTTACTTTCTGAAGTTAAGTTTTCCTAGCCTGCGATGACTTTAATACAATAACTAGTCAGTGGAGAAGTCTAAAAAGAACACATCACTTTGATGAGTTGTACACCTGAGCCTGTGATACAGTCATGTGACACTTGGCAGCAGATACCCTATTTTGACAGCTGTCAAGTGGTCATGACATGGTCAAAGTAGTAGACTTTTTACATCTGCTAACATGAAGGGGCAGATGTACGTACCTATAGAAGATTCTGTCAGAACACAAGAATAGCCAAATTTTCTTAACCGTGGTGCTCTGCTAAAATATAATAACTTTATTTTGTTATAACATATCTCTCTATGTTGACATCAGAAAGCTCTTAGAAAAAACAATTCAAAAGAATCTACAGCAAGGTGCCAAAATCAAAAGGCCACCCTCATTTAAATTGTATGCTACATACATATATGTAAAGTAAGGGATACCAGCAATCAGTTGCACTGCAGATCTGCACCTAACCTGACAAGATTGTAGCCCCAGTTTGCTCCCCACTTTGTGTCATTTCTGTTTGGTAAAAGCTATAAGAAAAATGCGATTGAGTTAGTTTCTACATAAATTATACTGAACTTTTCTCTTTGTTCTGTTTAGATACCAGATAACCCACTAGATAAGAAAACTCTGATAGAACTTGACGAGGATGGTTCATATTCTGTGAAAAAGACTATTTCACAGGGAGAGGTCTGTAGCACGTATTAGATATTTTACCTCAGAAAATAGCTGAAGTTGACAGGCAGCATAGTACTTTCCCTAATTTTGTACTGAAAATATTTTTTGAAAGAGGGGAAGTTGGTACTTGCTGTATGTGTCACCTGTATCAGGTTCAAATGAAGTGGGAAGTGTTGTGTTGATGAGTGAGTGAAATTCATTATTTATTTTATTTTATTGGCCGAGTTGGTAGGATAGATGGGCAACGGCCTCATAGGAAGATTGAGGTACTGACATTATAATTGCTAGCACCTCGTCACAGCAAATCAGAGCTTATAATCATGAGTCAGAGCAAGCTGTGTGTCAGTGGGAGGTGCATGAGGAATGTAAGGCACAAATGAAACCAGTGGCACTGGCTAAGAGATTTAACATGTATGTTCAGCGTGGATGACTGGAAGAACATTACCTTGTAATATTATTAGAAAATAACTTAGTTACAGTATAAATAGGTATTTTATGAACACAATAGCTGCCTGAATATAAGCATCATCTAGAGGGTGTATAAAATGTACTTTCAGGAAATGCAAAGAACAGATACATATTACAAAAAGGACCAGTTTCAGGGCTTCATATCTGAAGGTCAGTTGTTGCGAGATTTATATCTAAAGTTTAACATTTTATTTCTCCAAAAGAGATACCTGTAAAAAATAGACGTGGAGAGCTGAGACATTTTGTGGGGCATGTAATAAAACACTGTGTGGACTAAACATGTAAGCGTGGTTCTCATATGCTAACAATGTAACTGTGAGATAACTGTGCCGCCATTACTAATTGGGAAATTGCCTCCTCGGAAACTGTGATGGCTTATGGGAACATACACCACTGGCAATGAGAAACGTTGCAGGTCTTTACTGCTGGTACAGGTGCCTGCAAAGTTGAACTCACTTTAGCTTAGCATGCACACCAGTGGTAAAGACTTGGATTGCCTCTGTTACCAACAACTTTTGTCCTCACATTTTGGAAACTGTATCCCATGATCATAATATCTTATGGTATCTTATCATGCAATAAAACATGCATAGTTTTACACATTCTTTGACCACCAAAAACACCAGGCACTTTGACTTTATTATCCACTAACTTGTTCATTTGTAAACTATTTGATGTTCCATGGTTTGCAGCTGAAGCGCCGAAGAGCTCACAACCTGTATGTTTACATATTTGAAGCAAAAGACAACTCAGCACTAAGCAAACTATTACTTTTAACAGACCAGGATCATTTCCAAGTGTCCTACCTCAAATAAGGCCCTTTAAAATGTGAAATCAAGAAATAAGCAACAAAAAGTATTTATTACTCGTTAGGTGATGAGCTCAATATGTTTTTCGTTTTCTTTTTCAGGGTCAAATCTTTTGCTGCAAAGAATCATGGCCAAGAAAGGTGTTCCATCCGATCTAACATTTGTTGCATTTGACTCAACAACCAGTCTTTGTACATCATCATATGTAAGTCTGAAAAAAAAAATGGTGTCGTTTTATGTTTATGCTTGTAGTAGCACCCCTTAACATAGCTAAATCACAAGGATTTACTGTCATCCTGAACTGATCTACAATCTTGCACATGATGTATGGCAAAAATTATATTCCTCCCCTCCCTCTAAACCCAAACCAAGAAGAGGAAAATGGCACGTTTTGGCTTTTGCACGGCTTCATCCTCGATTTAGGGGAGGGATGGGGGGATTCTGAGATTGTAGTCTCTTTCGCTGTGGGAGATACGAGTTCTTAAAGGTGGTAAGCGGGGGAATAGGAGGAGATTATACAACAAATAAAATGCATAGCATTTTGCAATCGATAAAGAGGCAAGAAAAAAGGGGGCGGTAGCCCTGTCTCCCTCCACACTCAAGGACAGCAGCACTTGAAAGTCGCTAATTTTCTCTCCTCCCTCCGCCTGTCACCTTCCTCGCAGAGGCAATTTTCGCACATGCTTGGAAACAATTTTGTTAAAGTACGTGATTGTACACGGGCTTGAGCGGCTCTTTACCCCGGCTGCAACAAGGCAGTTCGGGAAATCGTAAAGACACTTTTAAGTACATTTCTTTGCCGTTTCTTGTACGATGAAGAGGTGAAATTCCCCAGTGCGAGTTTTTATGGAGGATATAAACACATAACGGGAATTTTTTTCTTTCTCTTTCTGAACTTCGAATAATTCAGTTATTGTAATTTACACTTTTGTTTGACAAATTTTACCAGCTGAAATAATCGCTGCCGTCGCTGTCATAGTTCCTTAAGCTTAGAAGTGAATTGGACTGAGTGATCCTCTAAGTTAGCCTCTGCACCTTTCCTTCAACTTATAACAAGTAATCCCCAGCTGTACAAACGGTGCACTGTTGTTTACCTCACATTGAAATGCTAATTTTCCAACAGAAAATGCTCGGTAAATCTAGTCGGAAGGTTGGCGGACAGCACGTAACTGTAACAGGACTTCAAAGAACAATTCACTCAATACAGGAGTCTCCTACAACCTGGGAGTCTTATTTCTTGTCCACTGGGTAAGTTCGAATTAACTTTAATATGCTTCTTTAGCCAAAAACCAAGTCTTAGACAACACTCCTTGTCAGCCTAGAAACCAGTGTAGTTCCTAACTGACCCTAACTTGCTACTAGTTTAAGAACCTAAAATTAGGATGATATATAAACATTTCGTGGAGGCAGCGTGGCCGAGCTGTTAGAGCGCTGAACTTCCAATCCGAAGGCCTCGCGCGACTTCAAGTCCCGCCCTGACCGCTAGCTGAATTTGTTCACGGTAATCCTGAGTTCAGACCCTCGGCCACCCTTGTAAACTGGTTTGCCAACTGGTTTGCCTTCTACCAGCTGGGATTTTTAACCTTTCTCTGATTTTATTTGTTTCATTATCACTGAAAAACCCCAGAAGGGGAGAGTATAATTAAGTATTTAATTAAGTTTAATTTAATTCGTTGTGCAGCGTTGTTGCACAGAGGAAGAATTTGTGTAAGTAGATACCATTACACCGGAAACTCAAACTTAAAGAGTTCACTTAATGGCGTTGCAAATGGTTTTGGGAAGCGTTTGCACCAGGTATAATAGACCTTGTCACGGTTTTCGACGCCGTCTTGACGAGTAGGCAAACATGTGCGAAATTACAGTGTTTGTATGAGAATCTAATGTCGAATAATTTCCGCATAACGGCCTTTCAGAAAAAAAATATAAATTGTAAACTAAAGCTACAAAAAATTTGGGGGGCGTATCTGTGCTTAAGTTTCTTCAGACGCTTTAGACTTTCTTACAGACAAATGTATAGAAAATTTAAAAACGTGGCTGCAGGTCTTCTACAGCATGTAACGCCCTCAAATTTTTTCAAAAAATCCTTAGGAGTGAAGCTTTAGTTTACAATTCATATTTTTTTCAGAATAGCGGATATTCTACGGAAATTATTCGACATTAGATTGTCATACAAACACTGTAGTAATTTCTCACACGTTTGCCTTCTCGTCAAGATGGCGTCAAAAACTGTGACAAGGTCTATTAACTAATAAAGAAGCCTTGACTGTGCTCTGTGCTGTCGGAAAGCACGCAGCAAACGGCAGAAGCACGAAAGAAGTGTAGCGGGAAACACGTAGTAGAGTAGTCGAGTGTTCCTCCCTACTTCTTGAGTGTTCTTCCCACTTCACGCTTTTTCAACCAATCAGAGTGTTCGTTGTATGTGAACTTTGTTAAAATACATGTATAACAGTCTGGAACACTCACTATCTTTTAGTTTTAGAGGTTTTGCCACTTTCATCTCGGTTTTATCGGTCAAAGTTTTGAACGCCTAGGCTTCTAAATTTTCGTATAGTTCCATGTGAACGGAACAGGTAAACGCACAAGTTTTCAAGCGGCCGAAAATTCATGGATCATTATACGTTTCTGGGAAACTGCCCACCTACCCCTCCCCTAAGCCAACATTTTGCCCTAAGTGAGAAGTAAGTGTTAATGTTGGCTTATGGGAGGGGTAGGTGGGCAGTTTCCTAGAAACGTATACAAATTCAACCGGTACCGTGTGAACCTAGCCTTTTGACTGCCTCGCCAAAGGCATTATTAGGGAGCTTTAGCAACGACGACGACGGCGGCGACAGCAACGACAGCGCCAAAGAAAGGAATGGGTTTGTTAAGCAAAACAACAACTTAGCACGTGCATCACGCTTTTTTGTACATTTCTTTGCCGTCACTGCACGACTATGACGTGAAAATGCCTGATTTCACGCTTTTTGGAGGACGTAAACAAGCGAAGACGAATTTTTGTTTCTCTTTGTAAACTTGAGTGCCGTCCCCAAGAAATCGACTCTAGGGAAATTCGCCTACATTTGACATTTTCAGCGGATTGGAATAAACGCGACAACGTTTGAAAAAGCGCGAATACCTTTTCAAAGTGACGTTTTCGATGCCGTCGCCGTCGTCGATGCTAAAACTTCCTATTATTAGCCTGCGTTTCAGCTGGCTGTTTTGAGTGTCAGCGACGTCCTTTCTTTCTTTTTGTAGGCATTTGGCAAGTAGAACACAGCTTGGATCGCAA